ATAGGGGATTATATAGGGGACTACTATAGGGCGTATTAAGGGGGATACTAGGAGTTTAGACTATAAGTCCTAATCCCCTACATAACCCTATATATAGTAGTTTCCATTTCATTTTCCATTTTCTTTTCCGTTTGATTCTCCATTATGAAAGGGGATACTAGGAATTTCGACTATATCCCCTGCAATCTTACCGGGCAGTGCTCAACCTGCATGGGTTCCCGTACTACCCCCCAGGGCCTAACAAAGTGTGTATGGGGCAATATACATGAAACATGTACATATTTTCCGAATACCTATTCTACAAGTATTTTTCTTCAAATCCAAAATATTCTATTGTTGGGTACTTGGACCCTAAAGCGGGGAGGTCTATGCAGCACGCCGACTCTCAAGCTGGATTGCAACCCTTGATCCATCTTAGCTATTTGCTCCGAGCAACTTGAACTAAGCTCTCATTTGGAAGAAACCCAATTTTATCTACTAGATAGATGTTATGAAAGATTACTTTTCTTTCCTGAACAGCGACCCAGCTATGGATTCCTGATATTTAGGGCCCTAAGCTCCGAACCATTATAGTCCCCCTTCACGCGGTTTAGGGTTTAGGGTTTAGGGTTAGATAGAATATGGGGGTATATATCGGGTTATATAGGGATAAGGGAAACGAAAATGGAAACTCCTATTTAGGGTTTAGGGTTTAGGATTATAGTCCCTTTTAAGTAGATAGAATATGGGGTATATGGGGATCTTATTATAATGTACCCCAAAGCCGTATTCTAATTACTTAAGGGAAACTACGGCATCTGACATCCCTTAAAAGTCTAGGCTGGCCTTAGAGATATGTTGATTTTCCCTTATTGGTTTCATACAGGCCCTACATTAAGATTTTGCGAAGAGCTCCAAACGCCAACCAGGAAGTAGAATCGGTTGATTTGAAGGCAGTTGAAGCATGCGCAACTAGGCTCAATGCACTTTGCTTGAGCGGCTCATGGTGTTCGCAGGAGCTTTTACGTACTGGCTGTGGCCCTGTAGTAGCCCCTATACAACCCCCAGCAATATAGTGTTTTCCATTCCTTTTTTCCTTAAAACCCTCAATTGTAGTTTCCACTTTCGCTTCCATTCCTTGATTCCATTCTACCCGCCAGTATGTGTAGAGTATGGGAAGGACGTTCTAGGTATTATGAGAATTTTCATCTTTTTCGAACTATACCTACCTACTTGGAGGTTCATGGGAAATAGTAACTACTTATAACAGGGCTTATAACCATACTTATAACCCCCCTGAATGACTTTATAGGGGTTACCCCAATTATAAGTAGGGTTACAACCCCAGTTATTAATAGTTTCTAAGTCCCATGAACCTCCAAGTAGAAGGGGTTGGATCAGGCAACCCAAAGCGGAGCTGCAGCTAGCGCTGGGCAAAGAGCAGCAGAAGTCGTTGTCTCAGCTCTTGCAGAGGGTATGGTACGAAGAGGTGAAGGTAGGAGTAGCAGCGGTTTAGGGTTAAGGGTTTAGGGTTTGGAGTTTAGTGTGTATCAGTAGTAGTCACAGAAGTATGCTTGCTGATACTGCGCTGTCTATGACTGTGATTACAGGGGCCGGCTCACCTGTATAAGCTAGTACTCAAGGGATCCAATTAGTCTAAAGTAGGTGAGCTTTATACACTTTACGGCCCGATGTAGGTATTATTTGTAGACTTGGATCCCCATACAGCCCCTTTTGTAGCCCCAGTTTCCGCTTCATTTTCCATATTCTTCCCCATTTGATTCTCCACTGCTGGTAGTATTCATAGACTTGGATCCCAAACTCGAAGCCTTTAAGACCAAAACCCTAAACCTTAAGTATGTAGAAGATGAGGAGGATGGCTTGACCTGAGTAGACCGAAAGCCCCTAGTTGGAGGGGGGGTCCTAAAATTGGACCCCGGGCCCTATACTGAGGAATATGTAGCATTTTGGGGTCTATATGCCTAAGCTCTGCACCTCAAACCGAAACCCTAAACCCTGAAGATGGAAATCCGAAGCCTCATGAACCCTGTATGTTTGTAGGCACGCCATACTCGTAGAGCGGTCTGAACAGCTGGACCTGGTAGCCAAGCGAAGGCCAGGTCGTGCTTCGGGGTTTCCTCTAGGGTCATGGGGGGTAGAATTGTAGGTTTTCTCGTAGGGATGGGATTCTGAAGGATTCTGAAGGATTAATAGGGTTATACAGGGTTTAGGGATTTTAGGGTTTTAGGGTTAAGGATTTGGGGGTTTAACGTTATTAGAATTTAAGTCTTGGGATTTATAGGATTCAGGGTTCAGGCTTGCCCTCCCCTTTGAACCCTAAACCCTATACCATTGGAAGTTGGGAATACCAGGGAGCTTAGGGGCTTAAATAATGGTCATGGGGTAGGGATTATTTTGAGAAATGCCCATTTCTCAGTGGTGCTAAGAGGGGAGTGGGGGATGGCAAACAATGAAAACTACTACACTGTTTTAGGATGTAGCTGCTTAAGGGGGGGCGGGAGTGGAAAAGACAGTAGCAACTACTAGATGAATTGGGTCTTTTGTTGCAGGGGCAACCGCTCACATGGGGTGCCATGAGACTTTTTACCTGAGATGTTCTGCCTTGTAAGGAACATCTCCCGCAAGCTGCGATATCAAACTTCCGAGGTTTGTCGGGTACAGACTACGAAATGCCCAACTTCTTGCGAAGCCTTTCAAAATCATCCTCACATCATCTCTAATGGGGACCCATCTAGTCATGAACTTCTTCACTTCCGCAGGAAGTTGGTCCGGTAAGGCTGCCGGGGAACGGCTAGCTTAAAAGTCTGATGAGAAGCCCCTTCGCAACAACGTTCATAATCTTCCATTGGATCTCTACATACGAAGTCATGTATGCCTATAACCTGGAGGATCCAATCTCAAGAGTCTCAGCGTGACAGTCTGAGGCATCCAGAGAATGAGACTTGGACAATCGCATGCTCCAGGCAGCCACTGTTTCTCTTTCAGTGTTGGCCCTACTGTTGAAGTTCTTTCTATTCAAGACCCTGATGGTCCTAAGCTCTGCAAAGCTTGCAAGTAACCATCGCATTTACTTAGCTTCCTGCTCATCAATAGGAAGCACTGACACTTCCTACCCTCACGGCATACTACCTTTGAGGGCTGGAGAGTCTTACATTCGACTCTCGAATTGTCAATGAACTCCCCAAATAGAGGCTCCACAGTGCCTTGCTCTTCTCAGGGGAGAGATCGCAGAGAAGCACGTGAAGGCGACCGCTGTTGCTATGGGCAAGCTCATGTCAGGAAGATACTGAAGATTTGAAGGTTCTTAGTGTGAGCCAGTCTGCTTGCAAGAGGTTCTGCCCCAAACCCTGAACCAGACCCTAAACCTGCGACGGCCGAAGCGCTCTAAGCCTTGGACTGCCTCAACTTTGATAGCGTTGAGGGAATGCTTGTCCAGCCAGCTGGCTGCAGTTCATCTTGCCAGTGGTTCGGGTTTACGGCTGTCTGTTGTCAATTTCCAATGATGTGAGACATGGGTTCTTCTTTCTTGCGTAACCATGTCAGTTTGATTCAGGCATTTAGGTGTATCTTTAGCGAAAGTTATCCTTTCACGTTCCTGACAAGTAGCGTTCCCCTGAGGCGATAGCCAGCATCCTTCTCCACAAGCAGCGGTTATATCTGCACTAGCTCATTCATCCCTAAAAAGAGCCTGTAGATGTCATACATATAATTCTTTCTGTACGTGAGGATCCAAAGCGCCAATATTGATACTATAGACCATGGTCAGAGTGCGATCCTATTGCCAAAACCCCTAAAACCGTAGACAGCCCTTCGCTGCCAGACGTCTCCGGCAGACGTCGCGCTATTGGCATCCGAAGTCCGAGACAGGAGCTGGTTTCCTGGGCTTAGGGTTTAGGAGCGACAGGGTCTAATTACAACCAAACGGGAGAAAATACAACCACACAGGGGAAAACACAACTGGACCACTGTTGTGGGCTCTCCCAGACGGGAGAAATTACAACTGGCTATTCCGGTGCCTTTATAAGTTTGGACATGCTCTGCAGAAAACCCATGGCGCAGCCTGAAGGTTCCATTACCAAAGCTGGATAGTGGTGGTTGTGATTCGTCCCTTCTCTTTGCATCCTAGCAGGAATGAGGACATAACATGTTTATGATGATCATTTCGGTTTGTTTGTTTTCGGTCATGTATGCGCGACGGGCATGTAAGCAATACTTAACGTGATTATTTCGGCTTGTATGCTTTCGGTCACGTAGGCGCGACAGGCATGTAGGCAATACTTAGCATCATTATTTCGGTGTGTATGCTTTCGGTCATGGAGGTGCGACAGGCATGTGAGCAATACTTAACATGATTATGTCGGTTTGCATGGCTTTCGGTCATGTAGGTGCGAAAGGCTTATGAAATTAACACTACAAAATCCGAGGAAAGACCGTGGTGACCAGGAGCTGTTTCCTCTCGGCCACCTTTGCGCTGCAAAAGAACAGTATTGGAGATTCTTAGAACGTCACACACAGGTTGGTTCGCATGAACGTCTGTGGTCTCGAGCTTACATAGCTTACATCTCAAATATACTGCCCCAAAGACTCTTTACATCTACTCAAATAACGCCCCAAAGACCCTTTACATCTCAGGTAAAGCCCCAAAGACCCTTTACATCTACTCAAATAAAGCCCCAACGACCCTTTACATCTACTCAAATAAAGCCCCAAAGACCCTTTACATATCAAATAACGCTGCAAAGACCGTCTACATCTACTCAAATAACGCCCCAAAGACCCTAAGACTCTTTACATCTACTCAAATAACGCCCCAAAGACCCTTTACATGACAAATAACGCCCCCAAAGACTCTTTACATCTACTCAAATAACGCCCCAAAGATTCTTTACATCAACTCAAATAAAGCCCCAAAGACCCTTTACATCTCAAATAAAGCCCCCAAGACCCCCCAGTTGTATTATCACCCATCTGGTTGTATTTTCCCCCATCTGAGCCTATTTCTAAAAATTTCAGCTGTATTTGGGCCCATCTGGTTGTATTTACACCCATCTAGTTGTATTTCGACTTGTTCTCGGGTTTAGGGTTTAGGGTTTTAGGGTTTAGGGTTGGGGTTTGGGGTGTAGTGTAGGCGGCTTAAACCCCGCCAAAATACCGACACCCTTCCTCCCCGCACACCCCGGAATCGTAAATTTCGGGTAATTATAGCGGGGGAATTGCCATGTAGGGGATTCACAGAAACCTTATATATCCCTTTCCTATCTCCCCACGCTCCCTGTTACATATAGCTCCAATTCCCATCCTGTAGTATTAGACTGCCTGGAGCCGTGGCTCAACCCCTAAACCCTGCGTGGAGGTGAGGGGAGTTGGTAAGTGGGATAAGAAAAGGGATAGGGATATCTGAGGTTACTACTTGGCAAACAGGGCTTGCAAGTATAGCCTATCGAACCCAAAAGTCCGTCTGAGGACCCATCCAAAACCCTCAGCCCCTAAACCACCCTGAAGGCCACCCTCAAGGCCTGAGGGACGAGGGTCTGAGGAGGTTCCTAGGATGATGGGTTTTTATTTCGATTTTATGAACCTTATGAACACTATAAACCCTATAAACCGTATAAACCCTATGAATCCTATAAATTTTATAAACCTTATACTCTAGGGTTTAGGGTTTCGGGTGTAAGGTTGCAAGCATTGCGTTGTACTGCAGGTTAATTTCGGATGAAGCCTATGAGAATACATAGGCATTAGACAGTGACTACAATGGTCCCCATTATGCCTGTTCACTCTGGGCCCTAGTGCATCTCGGAGTCTGTCAAAACAATCCCTGCATAATCCTTGAGGAAGGTGTCCCCGCGGTGACCCTCTTGAAATTCCCACGCATCCCTACATTTCGTTAGAAGGGCCTCGTTTGAGAACCCTGAACCCTACATCCCTAAACCTCCAAGCTCATAAACCCCTAACCTCCTAAACCCTTACAACTACAACAAAACCTACAATCTTAAGACCCTCAACCCGTAGACTCTTCAACCCCTAAACCCCTGAAGCCCCAAACTCTAAGCTCCCCAAGCCTCTACACCCTAAACCCTTATCCCGGGCCTCTGAGCCCCTAAAATCTAAACCACAAGCCCCATACCCCCGAACCCTGAGTCCCTACACCCTTCCCCTAAGCCCCTGCAGGACACAGCAGGTGGTGGAACTCCTGGCCGAGATTGACGAGCTGCAGCGAGCAGCAGCGTCAAGGCCGGAGAAGGATTCAAGAACTTGATTGTTGTTACAGCGGCTACAGGCTTTAATGGGGCTTGATGAGGATAGACAGGGCTTATATAGGTTTTGAGCTGGGGCTTAGGGGTGTAGGGTTGTGGGATTACATGGGGGATGTATAGAGATACTCTCCATGATAAGAACTCAGCATAACTTTGGTACGTTAGAAGGCCCAGGGCATAAAGGCATTAGCTAAGGTGTGTAGGGTCAGGCAGGGTCTTTAGCATCCAGCAGATGTAGGGTTCAAGGACATGCGGGCTTAGGGGTTTTGGGTCGAGGGTTCGGGGGTGCATGGTTGTGGGTTACTTTCCTAAAGGAGGCTCATATATCACACTGTGTAATAAGGCAATAGTTTTTGTCTGACCCTAACCCTAACACCAAACCTTTGGAAGCATACGGTTCGGGGATCCGTGGCCCCACATGGGGGGGTGCTCAAATACTTGGGTGCATCTTTTTTTTTGGAGGGGGGTGAGGGGGGGCGGCTTGCAATAAGGATAGCGGTATTTACATGGTACAGGGGAGTTTGTTTTCGGGGAGGGGAATTTCCATTTTACCTTGAATACGAAACCCGAAACCCTACACCCTTTTCAACCTTTCTTAGGTAAGCCCTGAAGTATCAAAGTATCAGTATCAGGCAGAAGTCAAACAACTGAAGGCAACTGCAGTTATAGGCTGAAGTTGACTCTTCTGGAGTTTCGAGTTTCAGGGTTTAGGCCCCTGTAGAGGAGTCATGGGGACGTATACATCCCTTCAATATATCTGCAGGGGTAGAATAGAGTTCAGTGATTTGGGGCTTTAGAGGTTGAGGCTTTGCAGATCTTGATATTTCAGATTTCAAGAACCGGCAACTAAGCTCGTGCTGGTCCTGTGCTATGGTCACTGGAAGTTTCTCAGCAGCACCTTTCGTGACCAGAGGTCTACTGTATATTGGCAAAGTAGATCATCAGAATCCCGCTTTAGGTCTTTTATGAAACTATGGGGGGCTGTTTGGAACATAGGTTGTGAACTACAGGCGTCCTGAGTCCTGATTGTGATTTCGCTTATAAAAACCCGCGATTCCCTGGTCTGCAACACCGTAGGGCCCAGACCGGTTTAGGGTTTAGGGTGGAGCCTCCCTCAAACAAACTAGCACGGAACCCCATTTGAAAAAAAAGAAAAGTTTCCATCGCTTCTCACCTTCTCCTTTCATACAACCCTAAATCCGCCAGCCCTAAATCCTGAACCCTAGACCCCTCAAGCCTTAAACCTGCAGCCCCCCCCCCCCCCTACGTACCTAACACCTAGCACCCTAAATCCTAAACCCTAAATCCTGAATCAAATCAAGGGTCCGGGCAATCTGGGTCTGAGGTCGGAGCGCGATCCAAGTGGCAGGAGGCCTTCTCATTCGCTGTGGTCCCTTTACATCTTAGGGGATCCCTATAGATTTCTGAGTCCTGGTACCAAGGGTTTAAGGTTTAGGGAAGATTTGGGGTGGGGTTTAGGGTTTAGGGTGGGTTCTCTAGATGGCAATGGGATACCGATGTATCTCTTAGGTGGACCCCCCACCCTGCAATAGTGGCTAGAAAGGATAAGAATTATACTCGGGTCCGAATTTATTCCTATCATACCACTATTATAGGGCGGGGGGTCCTCCTAAAGTATCTCCCTTATTGTCTGATAAGGTTAACCAATGTCGCTAAACTACTTTATATAAGGGGCCGTATCTTACAGGGGGTTCGAAAAGTAACCCTAGTAGTAACAAGCCACCATATGAGGACTAGTATAGGGATCCGTTCCTGAATTGCTAACCCCAAATCCTGAACATTCACCCTGAAACCCTGAACAATGAAGTGATTATGTTCTTTTCCGTTCCCTGGGCTATTATTGAAGGATTTGGCTGGACGCTAAACCCTAAACCCTGAGCAGTAGTTTCCATTTTCTTATCCTCTAATTATCTAAGCTATCCTGCTGGCCTTGTGTTATTGCGCATGTCCTTTCCAAATCATGAGCTTCCACACAACTTCCCATCTCCCAATATTAGCCCCCCCCCATACTGGGGAGTATTTAATATTAGGAAGGGTTGGGGCGGGTCTAATATTAGGGGGTGGGGATTGCATGTCCATTGCTTGAATTATGTGTCCTAAACCTTATAACCTATTCTGGCACCCCAATGGTCACCTGTAAATCGTGTTAGGATCCTCCACCATCAATTGGCTGAGAGTCCCAGATGCGCGTTGCTGCGAGTGCCGAAGCCTTAACATTTGTTCCAAACAAGTTTAATTCTTACTAAATTTCTGTCAGGAGACTCAAGCCGAGCCCGTGACTGCTCGCGCGCTCAAGCGCAGACCTTAGTGCTTATGCATCATTAATCTTGAACTTACATTTTATACTTTGCAAGTAAAAAAACATTAGTTGAGTCTTCGTACTTGCTGCATAAACACATAAGGCCGCAACAGCCAGAGTACGCGCCGCCGCAGTGGGTGCTAGCCGGGATGAAAGAGCCTTGCACCCAATGGCAACAAAAGACAGTTAAGAGCAGTTACCGTTTATACATCAGGTCACGCGATGCTATGACGGCTGAGCGAAAGTCCCTGCTAAGACAGAACGTTCCTGCCTTAATTATTCGCTTATTCAAAAGCATCAAATTTTGAACTCAGCAGTAAAGT